AAAAAAAAAAAGCCCAAGTAGTGTGACAACAACAGCCCCGCCCCCCTGTTCGCCCCTCTCCTCAGCCGCAGCGTCGCTGCGGCGGGTCCGCTTGTAATAATAATAGTAATAATGATTTGATTTGCAAAGCGCGCTTTCAGTTCATAGATATGTGACAGATGATCAAAACTGAATGGTTTCAGTGTGCTCTCATGGTTCTCTCATGTATTTGTAATTTTGTATCCTTCAATTCACAAAAAAGTGTGCTCTTTCACTTCAGAACTTCAGAGATATATGTGACAAGTTGACAACATATATGCATATACATGGTAAATACTAAATACTAAGAAGTTTCTCTATGTGTAGTATTTTATGCACGTGCCCCATATCTCCACTCTTTTCTACTGCTGCTGTTTCCAGCATGTTACTGCTGAACTTTTTTTTTTTTTTTTTTTTTTTTTTTGTTTGAACCCCCACCGGTGTTAGTGATGCTGATAAGAGCAGACACCACTAGCACATGTTGAAGCAGCTGAACTTTTTTTTTTTTTTTTTTTTTTTTTTGAAGCAGCTGAACTTACACCGGATCTGCTGGGCAATTATGATTGATTGTTCTGGTGTTGGACATGATTGCTACATGTACAGATAAACACTAATAGTCTAATACATATTTATGCCCATTTTTTTGGAATGACATTTGCTGACCAGTTCTGACTGATTGTTCTTGGTTTTCTTTTTTTTTTTTTTTTTTTTGAGGACCTGTGCAGGTCTGCTAGGGGAGGTGATAAGAGCAGCCCTCCGTAGCAGCCTGCAGGTGGCCTCTCCATCTATTGGTGGGGAGCTTCACCTCTTGGAAATCGGGTCCAGCGTCCCTTATGATTGTTCTTGTTTTGACATGATGTACCGCAAATTTCTGGATGAATCATTGGATACCAATTTTAAATTTTGGGACAAGAGCCCCGGTGAGGACATAATCCTCTGCATGGCATTGTCACAAGCACCCATCTGTGTGTGTGTGTGTGTGTGTGTGTGTGTGTGTGTGTGTGTGTGTGTGTGTGTGTGTGTGGAGATGTGGAGATGTGGAGCTGTGAGTGGAGAATTAATTCTTGGTTTCTATGTGTGTGCATGTGTGCATGCATGTGTGCAAGTGGATGGAGAATGCATTCTTGTATGTGTGTGCATGTGTGCATGTGTGCAAGTTGATGGAGGATGCATTCTTGTATGTGTGCGCTCTGTGTCCCTGTGTCCTCTTTGTGTGTGTGTGCGTGTGTGTATGTGGTGGGTGGGTGGGTGGGTGGGTGGGTGGGTGCTGTGTGTGTGTGCATGTATGTGTGTGTGAAATACAGAGAGAGAATTGTGTTCGTTATGCCGTGTGTGTGTGTGTGTGT